TTTTATTGAGACTAGTGAAGCCCTGATTAACCCCATCATTTATTTTTTTTCACGTTTTGATGGATGTAACAAACATCGAGGCAAACGAAATCAATTTCTTGTTCTAAATTTTTTATTTTATATGAAAAACTTTTTAAAGTAACACAATGAGTCAAAATCTTGATTTTCTTTTACGATATTTGTAGCATACAGAGAAAGACGTATGAAAATTATTAGTATATAGCTAAGATATGACAATTAAACTGCAAGAAAAACTGCACAATATAAGTGCTTGAAAAACAAAGGTTGTATCTACCGTTTAGTTGTTTAGTGTATGTCAAAGTCACGCCACTTTCATTAGGTCACCTGAGTAACTCATTGCTATCCGTTTTCGTTGTGTGTCGTGTGTTAACATTTGAACATTTTCAGCTTCCTCTCTGAAACCACTTAACCAATTTCAACCAAATTTGGTATACAGCATATATGGGTGAAGCGGAACAAAAATTGTGAATTTTATTGTCCCCACCCCCCTTGGACCTGAGGGGTGGGGCCAAAACCACTAAAGTTATTGCAATCTTTAAAAATCTTCTTCTTTACTCCTGGACATCAAGCAGGCAAACTGTTGACATGAAAGTAATGAACATTGTGTCCTCTACCAAAATTGTGAAATTCATGGCCCCGGGGTCAGGGGTTCTAGTGCTAGGGTGGGGCTATATAGATTATATAGTGAAAATTCATTAATTCTTTGAAGAATCTTCTTCTCTGCTCCTGGGTACTAAATAAACTAACTAAGTACATAGTTATGATGAGCAAGAGTGCCTCTTACAGAATTGTGAATTTTATGGCCCCAGGGTCATCTAGTGTTAGGGCGGGGCTCTATTGATTATATAGTGAATATGCATTTATTCTTTGAAAATCTTCTCCTCTGCTTCTGGGTATCAAATAAACTATCAAAGTACACAGTTATGTTGAGCAAGGGTGTCTCTTCCAAAATTGTGAATTTTATAGCCCCAGGGTTAGGGGTTCTGGTGCTAGGGCGGGGCTATATTGATCATATTGTGAAAATGCATTAAAAATTTTATTCTTTGAAAATCTTCTTCTCTGCTTCTGGGTAGTAAATAAACTAAGTAAGTAAGTAAGTACATAGTTATGATGAGCAAGAGTGCCTCTTCCAAAATTGTGAAATTTATGACCCCAGAATCAGGGGTTCAGATGTTAGGGTGGGCTCTATTGATTATATATTGAAAATACATTAATTCTTTGAAAGTCTTTTCCTTTGCTCCTAGGTTTTATGCCAATGATCCAAGTATATATATTTATGACGAAGAAAGGTGCATCTAGCAAAAAAGTTATTTTTTATGCCCCCCCCCCCTGGATCGGGGGGGGGGGTTACATAGTCTGAATATAAATTAATGCTTTGAAATCTGTTCTTTGGTATTAATCAACCATTTTATGATAAAATTTGCAAAATTTTGAAATATTTGCCCCAAGATCAGTGGTTCTTTTGGGATAAGGTGCACAACTGGTGATAAAGTTTAAGTGCATTTTCTCTTTGTTACTCTGATCTACCACTAGGTATTAAGTAAATAAAGTAAGCATGCAAAGTTTATAATTATGATTAGCTATGGTGTTTCTTTCAAAATTGTAAATTGTGAATTTCATGGCCTCTGGTTTAAAACACGAACCAAATTTAATTGTTTGAAAGTTGTTACACAAACCTCAGGTAGCCTATAAGGCCTGTGGGCCTCTTGTTTTTAGCTCAAACTAGTAAACAACATTCAGCTGGAGTATGCAAAGATGAGAAATATGTTTTAACAACGTTTTAAAAAGACTGCATCAAAATTTTTGGTCTACTTACATTTATTTCTGGGTACTTCAGACCATGGTACCGGTAACTATGGAAACTATTCAACTTTTCTGCGCATGCGTAAAATAAAGAGGAAGAAGTATTTAGCACTATTTTTGTTATGGGACATACAGAAATTATTTTTACTTTTTTTTCTCCATAAAAATAGATATTTTAGGTTCTGAAACCTGTAATTTTCTGAAACCTAATACTTTTAGGAATTGAACAAAATTAGCATGGGTCATGCAAAAATTTTACATTTGTCAATTTTCCCCTTTGTGCGTCACAGTGTATCTTTAAGCTCAGGCGCTTGACGTAATTAACCTTTCTTTTCATAGATAAAATTTTCCCCTTACTATAACAATAACACGGTTAATATTATAATATTGGGGATTTTTTTTTATTTATGAAAAGAAAGGTTAAAAACATTCAAGCGCTTGTATTTTTAAGTTAATTAATACACCTATAAATACAAATGGTTAATTCACAGCTGTTTGTAATGCAGCTTCGTAATAATACGAAAAGCGAAAGAGGATACCTTTAAAGAAAGAAACGCAACTTTTCAGGATCGTTAGACGTATATTATTTATTTAATATACTTTTATACAACAATTTTCAATAAACAAATTATTAAATCTATCAAAAAGATAAGGGACTAAAATAGGTGATAACAGCTGTGAGCCAGGTATTTGGCCACGGTAGTTAGTGTATATACACCCGTGCATAGACCTCAAGTTAGGTTTATGACCCGTGTAACCGAGTGGCGATTAGTATTCGATACTCAGACGTTCGATTGAGTACCTGGTTAACCGGGTACTCGTTAACATTCTTACCAGATACTTTCAAATAGAGTTATATGGTATGCATGAGCAAGACGATGAAACCAAAAAATCCAAAACTGCACCGAATAAGTATGCATCTACGAATATTTTGATCAAGACAGGTTTGCCCCCTCACTTTTTTGCATCCTCTGAAAAAAATGAGATAGACAACCAAAGCGCTATGTTCAGTGCCACCCATACAAAAATATGTTCAATACTATTTTTGCGCACATATGCTTTACTTGGTACTGGATTAATTCCTCTAAATTCTTATCCAAACTGCAGCTAATCTTAACGTTCGACTCTAGCAAACCCAGCCGTTGGGGAAAATGGAATAGTTAGAGAAAGGTACCACGACCACAAATAAATATGATTGTTCTTCCTCCCAGCTGCAGAAATGTGGCGTTATGGTTTTATATTGCATTCTTTAAAGTCAAAGACTAAAATATAAAAGCATAACATAGTTCTGCCGCTTTGTTCTTCCTGAGATTGGATTTTATTTGTTGGCTTAAGTCACCCGTGCCCCCTATCCTTATCTTTCTGCAATATAAATTTATATTAAAATCTTACTAGTAGTTCAAGGCAACATAGCAGCTCTGTTTATTTCCAAATTTCATAACAGAAAACTTGTTCAGTGTGAAAAACTTGTCATATATTTAAATGACGAAAATGTAAACCATAAAAACAATTACAAAATAATTTGGCTGGGAGACATAACAAAATCTAGGAAAGCTTGACCAGAAATGCAGTTCAATAAATGATCACAAAAATGGTCTCCCAGTCACTATATTGTTACAACACACAGATGTGATAATGCGGTAAAATGCAACATCATACTTTATTGGAAACAAAATTTAATTGGTGCATAAAATAGCGCTATCAACCCGTACTAATGTCACGGGTCTGCATGTTTAAAACAATACATTGTATGAGCTGCAACTTTGATGTCGGAATTTTTTGTTGCAAAATTGTAAATAACTATTTCAATGACAAAACAATTGTTAATAAACTTCTGTTAATCATTTTTGCGAAGAAAAAAATTATAAGCTTCGATTGAATTAAAATTACATTTATTGTCGTCAATAATGATTTCTTGTATAAGACTCTATATTGGATTGTAAATAGAAGTCTTTTTCTGCTTTATTTTAGTCTAATTGATCATAAAGGTTCAAGTTACCTACGAATTTATCAAAAATTTTAACGGCAAAATAATTTTTTTTAAAAATGCAGTACACAGAGCTTTAATAATAGACTAGTATCTTTATGTCATTTAAATATGAGAATATTTTGATAAAATATAAAAATATTCCATACAAGATGATAATTAGAAATACTTAATGCCAGCCATCTTTCAAAGTAAACGGTTAAAAAGACCATTGAAGGAGGGGATCAAAAAGTTTATCAACGTCTTTTCCCTTCAAACACATGTATATGGCTCTCATCCTTATCCTTATTTAAGAGAGGTCAATCTTTTTTTCCTGTTGGGGGGGGGGGTCCAAATTTTGATTCTTCTACAAAGAAATTTAGTAACATTGGCCATAACTTTTGATTAATACATTTCTTTGGATACCAAACTTTTTATTTCTCGACCTTGGAGTTTGACCTGCATTTGAGACAAGTTAACATTTGCCATTAGATGCCAGACGCAGACATCAGAGTTTCAAAAACATATCTTGTTTTATTTCAAAAGAGCAAAAGTTTATTTGAATAAGGTTTCAGTTGTTTATATATCAGAAACGTTTCTCTCGATAGTCTTGATAAGAAATAGAGTAAATGCCGCGATATGGCTTTCATCGACGAGTACTCATTCTTAATTTCTAAAAAAAAAAAAATGTTGAACAGCTGTTGGGTTAAAAACAACAATATCCAAGACAATAAATTGGAGGAGATCAATGTTCACGGCTGTAGTTTCTCTGACGTTTTAAAAGGGTTGGGTGGATGTGGCCATTTTCAGACTATATTGATCTCCTTTAGAAGAAGAGCTCCATAGAAAAATATAAATATTGACAAAATTTTAAAGCTAAAATGCATGAAATTTTTGTTTGCCAAAAGATAGTTGACACCTTAAGATATCCTATATCTAAGAATTAAGTTAAATCAAATGTTTAATTTTGTGTCCCTAGCCCCCTTAAAGATTTTTTATTACATTAGTGGTTACACTTATCTTCTTATAAAATGCTTTGATTAAAGTTTATGGTTTCAAATTTTCCACGCCTCAGAGATAATGATTAAGTTTAATCTTTTTTATGTTAATATTATACCGATTGAGTTTCCATATTACAGAATCCGCTTTTTATGCTTCATTGACCTCAGTCCTGAGTTTATTATCAGTAGGCCACGTCCCGGCGTTCTTAAACTCCTGCAGTCACCATGAATCGGTCCTGTAAAATAGATTTAGAATATCCTACTAGCAATGAGAGGTAAGTATAAAATACATTATTTCAAAATTTTAATGCGAATTTTAAAATGGAGGATTTGATTAATAAACTTACGATGCAGCTTTGTTTATTAAGAATTAGGGATCTTTATTAACAGTGATGTGGACTTGTAAACATGTGAAAAAAAGAAAAGAATATTTATTCTAAAAGTATCAATATTCTAAAAAGGAGGTTATTAAAGTTTAAAAATAAATAAAACCAAAAAAAAAAATCGTATTATCAAGTAACAAAAGGATACTAGTAGTTCCGTCTCCTGTCTTGTCAGATATAGCTTTAAAATTTAGCTCCAGGTCACACATTTTTTGTATTTTTGTACGGCACTCCTGACCTGAGTGAATATAATATGTAAAAAAAAAAAATGGAGATGGTTTCCTTCTTTTAAATTTATTTAAATTTTGAATCTTTTCAAAATTAAACATGAAGCGTAATTGATTATATTGAACTTGATTTTGTTTTTTAAAAAAATGCTTTTAATCCAATTTCAAGATACTTTCCAAATTTGTATGGATGAAAAGAGCACTTGAAAAAAAAGATTTTATGATTGTCTGATAAAATTTTAAGGTTTTTCCACCCTTACCATTTTAATGCTTAAAAGTACAAAAATTGAATTCATTTGCATTTATTAAAGTTTAAATTTACCAATTATTTCCAGAAATGTATAGGTCGCCATATTATTTAAGATGGGAGACGTAAATAAACAGAAGCATATGTCAACATAAAAATCGTACATTTTTTGTAAACAGTATCAAAAATATTATGTAGAAACTGAGTCAAATGCATAATTATGATGCTGAAAGTTCCTAAATACTAGTACTTGCTACTTATAAGATACTTTTGAATTGTGAATATCAGGGAAACTTATTTTACATTAGAAGTACAATAAAGAAGATGCCTAAATGAAGCTACATGAGCAGGAGTTATTGCCCTTGTCAACATTTTTTAAAGATTGCATAATTGATTAAATAAAGGAAATATGCATTTTTAAAAATTCTTTTACTTAACAATATTTATCAATACACCTATGGAAAATCATTCTTCCAAAATATATTGTTCTACTGGGTATGAATTTAATTTAAGTACAGTTTTTGCAAAAACCTATGACATCACAGGGGGGTGGAATTACCTTAAACGTAAATATATCATGATTCTGGACCTGATCTGAACATGATCTGTTTACTCATCGCTTAATTTATTCAGTTCTTTATATTTACAAATTGCATGCAACCTAAAGAAGCTCTCACATATAACTAGACCAGATACAAACAAGAAAATTACTGTTCAATTTCAAGGATGATTTAGAATCAGAGGGGTCAAATGCAAGTTTAATAGACGGTATGAAAATTCAAAAGCAGTCGAATTTTCCAACTTCGTTGACTCTTTCATACAGCTTTTGAGAACATACAGTAGGGAATCTATCAATAATTATGGCACGACAAATTCACAAAAATTAGCTAATCATAGTTTCACAGTTGATAAACTATGTTTATCGACTGTAAACTATAATTTACGATCCGTTAACCACAGTTCACGATGCTAATCTATATATCTCACCTGTAAACTATAGTTTTCGCGATAATCTGTATTTTACAAGGATATCACTAGATGGTATGGCGTAAAAGAAGTCGAACATGAGTTATCGTTCATATAACGAGTTATCGTTCATAAGATGCGTAATACGTCATCACTAGAGACATATTCACTCGTACATGGAATATTCCACATGTGTTAAAATAAACAGAAATAAAATAAATATTCGTTAATAATATTTATTCGATTGGTAATTTACATTTATTTCATATGTAATTTACAATGGGGTTATTAAATATTCATCCGTATGCCGAAAAGTGAGAATGTCCGTATATATAAACAATTTATCAATATAAATTAATCATCAAACAAGGATAAATTTTAGACAATCGTGGATTGATTTTAATGAAAAATAAAAGGAGTTGAGGTAAAGTACTGGATATATTTCCTTTCTATATATTTATTTGTATTTCGATTAATGCAGTTTGGTTGTTATGTGTATTGCGAATGGAGAATGTAGAAGGAGGGGGGGTATTACCTAGTGGAGACAGGCATCTATCGTTAAATGTGGTCATGTAAGAAAAAAACCCAAACGTGTTTAAATACTGCCTTAAGATCCTTGCTCAAATTTTTCCACTCATGGGAACACTAACAATTGCCGTTCGAAAGCTGCTCGACACCCTGGGCCATTGAGCAGTGATCGAGGGACCTTTTTCGTGCCAGCACCAACAGCGACAGGGAGGGGTGGAGCGGTTGTTTGTCAGAGTTAAGGAGCCCACAACCACACTAGAATTATTGAATTATTAAATCTTATGTATATATAGTAAAGAAAAGGGGGCCCTGGCCCCCTGCACAGTGAGGGACCTTTTTCGTGCCATCACCAACTGTGACAAGGGACCTCGGTTTATACCGTCTCATTGGAGGACCGGTCTCCACGTCCTTCAGAGGGATTCAAACCTGCAACACAAGGATTATCTTCTTAATCCGCGACTTTAAAGCAGACTTTCTTACTACCATTTCACACGGCTACGCAGATTTCAGTGGCGAATCCAGGAATCTTTTACAGGAGGGGGGGGGGGGGGTGCTGTTGTTTGTCGGAGTTAAGAGTTTGTCAGTGTTAAAATAAACAGAAATTAAATAAATATTTTTTGAATTTATTTATTAGATTGGTAAATTACATTTATTTAAAATTGAAAATTATTGAATTATTAAATCTTATGTATATATATATATATTGGACAAAAAAGGAGGCCGGGGGGGGGGGGTGCACTACCTCTAAACTAATCCGCCAGTGTAATTGAATGATTATTATACTCAGGTTGTGAGATAGAAATAATTATTTTATTATTTTAATTAGAAACTCATACCTATACAACAACCAATAATAAGAAATCTGTTATTTTTTCACATGAATATCCAGCTTAGGGATAAGACTTAATTTCTCACAAAACTTTTTTTTCCCCCGAGGCATATGCTAACGCAATAGAGCAAGGGATACGTAAATCTACAAAACCTATATTTCTCGCTATTCGGCAGTCACTACTATTCTGGGTCTGGTATACCTGGTATTTCACTCTAGGTAATTCTGGTGAATTTTTTGTTCATGTGATCCAAAGTACAAACATATGACATAGTGCTGTCTGTATTAATATTTCTTCACTTAGGGCAGTGATGTTTGTATAATACTTGTTGTAAAATATGTTTTAAAAATAAAAAAAAATTAATAAAACTAATTATAAAGTCCCAATTACTAGATTTAACTTCTAATCTAGTGACCATGTATTGAAGGGCAGCCCCGCGAGAATTCCGAAGCATTTAAGTTATAATGTATAGCGACCATATTACGTACCTAATAAATGAATGGTCTGATAGTTTAAATCTTGATAGAATTTTGAAGATGGTATCAAATATAATGCTTCACTTGAGAATTGTACAAAACTTTGATTTTTGTCTAATTAATAGCACCTTGAATTTTACATTAATTGAAGTCTATGGGCTGCACATGTTTTTTTAAGATATTAAAAGAAGTTATTTGATTTTCAAACAAATATCTTTGTAAATATTTGAATAAACTATATCTTTATTACATTATTTATTATTTATAGTACTTTTTTGGAGTTTGACCATTTTTCATGAAAATTTTAGACTTTAACTTTGGCCATATCTTTTGAAAAAAAGTTTAACATGATGATATGTCCCTTATCTCAGAGCTTTCTCTCACCTACCTGTACCTTGTACCAGATAAGAATACGACCAAATATTCGTCATATTCCTACCTGTCTTTCATAGATTCTGATTTATTTTATACTGAAATTCTTACCCTGGTCTTGCTAGGCAACTCCTTACCTGTTATGGAGATTCAGAAGAAAAGTTTAACATGAAGATATGTCCCTGATCTCAGAGCTTTCTCTCACCTACCTGTACCTTGTACCAGATAAGAATACGGCAAAATATTCGTCATATTCCTACCTGTCTTTCATAGATGCTGATTTATTTTATGCTGAAATTCTTACCCTCATCTTACTCTGCAACACCGCAACTTTTATGTAGTTTAAAAAAAAGGTTTAACATGATGATATGTCCCTTATCTCAGAGCTTTCTCTCACCTACCTGTACCTTGTACCAGATAAGAATACGACCAAATATTCGTCATATTCCTACCTGTCTTTCATAGATGCTAATTTATTTTATGCTGAAATTCTTACCCTGATCTTACTCTGCAACACCTTAACATTTATGGAGTTTAAAAAAAAAGGTTTAACATGAAGATATGTCCCTGATCTCAGAGCTTTCTCTCACCTACCTGAACCTTGTACCAGATAAGAATACGACCAAATATTTGTCATATTCCTACCTGTCTTTCATAGATGCTGATTTATTTTATACTAAAATTCTTACCCTGGTCTTACTAGGCAACTTCTTACTTTTCATGGAGATTCAAAAGATAGGTTTGCCCTGAAGATATGTCCCTGATCTCAGAGCTTTCTCTCACCTACCTGTACCTTGTACCAGATAAGAATACGACCAAATATTCGTCATATTCCTACCTGTCTTTCATAGATGCTGATTTATTTTATACTGAAATTCTTACCCTGGTCTTACTAGGCAACTTCTTACTTTTCATGGAGATTCAAAAGATAGGTTTGCCCTGAAGATATGTCCCTGATCTCAGAGCTTTCTCTAACCTACCTGTACTTTGTACCAGATAAGATTTCGACCAAATATTCGTCATATTCCTATCTGTCTTTCATAGATGCTGATTTATCTTATACCGAAATTCTTACCCTGGTCTTACAAGGCAACTCCTTACCTTTTATGGAGATTCAAAAGATAGGTTTAACATCAAGATATGTCCCTGATCTCAGAGCTTTCTCTCACCTACGTACCTGTACCTTGCACCAGATAAGAATACGACCAAATATTCGTCATATTCCTACCTGTCTTTCATAGATGCT